CGGGCCGTGTCGCTGGTTCTTGCTTTGAGGAGTTAGCCCTGTCCATCCTCAGGTAGGGGCCGATCTCTTCCCTCAGCCCAGAGGGCTTCAGAATGGTGCTACTCCTTAAGTAGTATTCTTGTTCTACCCCCTGTCTACACTGAATTGGACTCTTAAACTCTGTATGAGAAGGAGCCAGGCATTTCTTCTTCTGGGCTACTCTGTACTTAGCTCTTAGATCTTGACCTTCCGCCACCCCCAACCTCCCCGTCTCTCCCCCTGCCCTTGCCAAAGATATTTCTCCATGTCTGTAGACGGTTCTAAACTGACCTTGAAGTCACCCCTCTTGTCTTTCCTTAGCAGGTTGGGGGAGGAGGGGTGAAAATTCTAGCCACCAAAAGTCCCACCTCTATCTTTGGCTAGCTTCCCTCTGATTGGTTTAAGTTGTGAAAGTAGATTTATTACCCTTTGGTAAAATCCAGCTTTTACACCTTTCATTTATTCAACAAATGTTTAGAAAGGGCCTAATAGATGCCAGGTACTTGGCCAAACATTATGCCACTAATGATATTGCCTCCCACTCCAGGGAATTTGCAATCTACTAAAATAACCAAAGGTGGCTGCTATTTATTTTTTTAAATGTTTATTTATTTATTTTGAGAGAGAGAGAGCACGCACACAAGCAGGGGAGGGGCAGAGAGAGAGAGGGAGAGAATCCTGAGCAGAATTCACTGTTGTCAGTGCAGAGCCCAATGTGGGGCTTGATCTCATGAACCGTGAGATCATGACCTGAGCTGAAATCAAGAGTCAGATGCTTAACCGACTAAGCCACCCAGGTTCCCCGGTGGCTGCCATTTATTGAAGGACCACCACACAACAGGCTCCCTACCAAAAGCCTTTATTTTTTTAAAATCTCATTTAGTCCCCCCACGATCTCATGAAGATAGGGTTATTGCCCCCATTTCACAAATGAAGGCTCCGAGTCTCACCGATGCTTAAGTAATTATCCCAAAGTCATGAGGACAATAAGTGGTAGCTGGAAACTGAATCCGTATCTGTGTTCCAAACCCATGCTTCTTCCTTACACTGGAGATTCTACATACATAGTGGTAAGGAACTCAGACTCTAGTAGATAAGTTTAAAATCCCATCTCTACCACTTAATTGCCATGCAATCTTGAACAAATTAATTAACCTTTCTGAACTTCCATTTCCTTATCTGTAAAGATAAAGCATGATAATATCTATTGGATAGGGTTGTGGTGAGAGTCTCAGAAACGGTAGCTGGTATTTTAGGGCTAATATCTAGTCCTGGTCTTACCTACAGCCAGGTAATCGTAGCAAGTGCCGGCACCCTTGGAACTGGTCTGTCTTATACTGGTTCTCTCCCCCACTACAGTCTGAGTAACATCATTAATTCTTAGCTCATTTGCAAAACAAAGAAGTATGTCATATACTGAGTCACCTCCAGACTTCAGACTTTAGGTTATCTTTTCTGCCTCCTTTCTCATTTAGGTTTCTCTCTCTGAACCAAACTTGATTTCCCAATTCAAATGCGTTCATACTTTTTAGAAGGAGATCTTCTGAAATCTATCATGTCATCATGATACCAAGCATGCAGTAGATACACAGTAAAAATAAGAGATGCTGTCCATTAAAAGAGAAAAGTTGTTCTCTGTCTTATTTTAAGGAGCTTACTAGAAGAAAATTCTGAGGACCTCAATGCATTTTCTAGAACTTGGAACTTCAGGTCTTCCTCCTATTGCATTTGAAAGAAAACGAGTCTTTCCAGCTCCAATATCTTTGTCTCGTCCTTCTGGAAAGGGGAGACTATCCATGGTGAGGACTTCTAATGAGCCCTCAATACCAAGGGAATAAAGAGAAACATCTCCATTGGAAACTTTGGGACACTACTATTGGGTGCCAGTGTAGCCTAGACTTTCCATCAAAACATCAGACTAGTAAACAATCCCTCTCTGGCATCAAGAGCTTTCAGGATGAGGCAGTAGTGGGGGCCTGGATTGTATTACCATGATCATCTTTCTACTGACCTCTTTATACTCAACTCACTAATTCTGTTTGGGTGGATTTCCAGTCTTAACCCTTCATCCTCTGATTATTGGAGATCAGAGGCTATGTTACAAAAACTGGAGGTACTGGGTCTTATGGAGACAGAGGAAGGGGTTGGTGGCCACTGAAACATCACTGTGTCTTTGCAGGTAGGAATTTGAATCAGAACACATTTTATCCCTTCCAGACAGGGTGGGTCCAACATCAGAGACAATCAGCTTTGCCTAGTGGTTGTGGCTTAACCTGTACTCTTCTGGGTGGAGAGGAAATAGCAGTGGCTTGAACCCCTGGAAAGTCAAATAGGTCCGAAGGCCAAATGCTTTTCCTGGCCTTGGTGGTGGTGTTTATTCCACCTAGCACTGGGTACTGAAGACAGGCAGACTGTAGACAGCCAAAAGTACAATTCATTCCATAACCCTTTGCTGGTTACCTACTAAGCACCAGACATTGTGTGCCCAGCTGGGGACAGGGGTTACATAACTGAATTATATAGCCTCTCGTTTTAGTTTGCTTGCAGTCTCGTGACTGGGTAGTGCTGGCTCGACACCTCCCAGAAAGCACCAGTGTCCCAAATGAACCCTTTTCACATGTGGACTCCCTCAGCAATCTGGAGGACATCAGCATCCCCTACTTGGTTTTCCATATTGAAGCCAAGCTCTGAGGGCCCAGATCCAGGACCCAGACAAACAGAGCAGAAGTAGTCAAAATGGAGATTGGAGCCCATTGACAAAGGAACTTTTGAACAACTGATGGTCCCTTGGAACCTGCCTCCTGACCTGGTCCCAGTCATCTTCTCTTCTTTCTCCCTCCCAAGCCCACCTTGGAACAGGACAGATAACTAAAGACCTAGTGCAAACCTCACTGCTTTAGAAATGGTCAACAAAACACATGAAGATACTGCCTTTGTGGGTGGAGCTTTGTTGGGAAGGATCCCAGTCAATGATTGGTCTCCAGGCTCCCCTGACTTTCACTATTAGTGAATGCAGTATTGTTCAGCATGAAGCAAATTAAAACAATAAACATCTGTACCCAGTGGGTGGATGTGCCCAGCTGTCTAGGCCCATCTAAGAAGTGTCTCTTAGGCCCTGTTGTCAAAACCAGGGTCTGCTTTCTGGACTCAAACATGATGAGAAGTGTATCTGTGCATTATTGATAACCATCTTCATATTAAGGCCACTCTGCCTCACTCATGAGATCAGAGTTTGCTGCACAGGCTCCAGCTTGTGAATAGGCATTATACTGGAAACTTCTTTGCATGCTCAACACTTAAGACCATGCCAGCCACAGAGTAGATGCTCATATTTATTAAACTGAAATGAAATATGTGTGGGTTCCAGAAGAGATGCTCTGCATCCCAGCCCCCTCTCATTGTTACCCTCCCCTGTCCCCAGATTCCAGCAGATTGGGCCACTATCATTTTCTGGTCTCCATATTCACTGAGTCCAACCGAGACAGCATGGTGGTGATCGCACCCTCCACTCCATCAGTCCTCTGGCCTTTTGATGTGGGAAAGTCTGTGGGCTTTGGAGTCATGCAGATCAAGGTTCAAATCTTTGTTTTACTGCTGTCTAGTTAGTCATACCACATCCATGCACCTCCATTTCCAATATAAAATACCAACTGTAATCATTAAATGCAATAACATAAATAAACCACTTAGCTTAAAGCAGGTGGTCAGCAAATACCCACTCATTACGTCTAATTTAAAAAAAAAAAAACAAAACTCTTCGTAAGTCTTGAGGAGAGTGGGTTCCTGCCAAGGACCTTTCTGATGGCCTCCACAGTTCAGGCCTATTGGAGCAACTAGAATTTGTGTCTGCCTTGACATGTCTAAAATCTTCAAATTCAAATCTGAGGCTTTCTCAACTGTTTTTTTTTTTTTAATAAGGAGTGTTTCAAACTTGAGCCCTTGCGCACTGTTGGTGCACAACATTGGTGCACATTTCCCATCTACTGTGGGAAATGGTATGGTGGTTTAAAAAATGAAAAACAGAATTGCCATATGACCCAGCAATACCATTCTTGAGCATATTACAAAATAATTAATATCAGGCTCTCAAAAAGATATTTGTACGCTCATGTTCATTGCAGTGTTATTTCCAATAGTTGAGAGGCAAGAGCAACCCAAATGTCCATCAATGGTTCAACAAAATGTGATGCACACACACAATAGAATGTTGTAGGAAGGAAATTCTGACACATACCACAATGGAGGAATTTTAAGAACACTATGCTAAGTGAAACAAGCCAGCCACAAAAAGACAAACACTTTAGGGTTGCACTTATGTGAGGTTTCTAGAGCAGTCGAATTCACAGAGGGAGCAAGTAGAATGGTGGCCAGGCAATTAAAGGAAAGTGTGTGATGCTAATGCACAATAAGTGATCAACAAACGTGAGATCCCCTTCCTTCCCATTAATTCCAATAGAGGAGTGAAACCCAGCCACCTAGATGAGTCTACACTGGTAAGGGATGGCACTAGAGCCAGAGCCAGCTGTCCTGTGTCATGCTCTGTTACACCCTCGTCTGACCACCTGCATGGAGAGACAGCCAAGAAGGCTAAGTGGTCCTGGCTCTCTGGGGGGACACATGGGTTGCTGACAGCCTTAAAATTCCCTCTTCCCAAATCCCTGTTCTCCCCAGCCCTGCATCTGCCCTGTGGGTTTAATGAGAAATCCAGGCACTTGGTAAGCAACTGTACAAATACCTTCTAGGGCGCCACTAACTCATTCAGCAGAAAGAGACTCAGAGCTGCCAATGCTTTAGGGAAGATAAGTGAGTGGAAAGGAGGTGGTTTTTAATACGTCAGGCGGACAGAAGAATTTTGCCTGGTTGTGTGAGCTCCGCCCCTGCAGCAGAGCCGAAAAAGCCAGGATCCGGCCTCCTCAGTCCCTCTCTTCACAATATTTGATTAGGAATTTGGAGGCGGGACCCTGGCCTGGCACAGACCCGCACACTCTCAGTAGACACTCTGTCTTCTCCCTCTCTCTCTCTCTCACACGTTCTCCAACCCAAGGAGGCCAGACAGAGGGACGTGGTCACTCTCTGAAAGGTTCAACTGGAGGTAAGTTTAGTGATTTTACTTCATTTTTTGTCCCTTGTAGCTCCATTACAGAATGAAGGAAAGGGGCTGACATGTGGGGAGAGGAGCAGGGAGGAACCATACCTCATTCTTCCATCTGGGCCATGACCCCAGGATGCCGGAGAGGGGCAGATGGGGAGTAGAGGGAACATGTTACCTCTGTCCTATGGTTTCTTTCTGGTTGTTGGGGGGAACTCCACTTCCCAGGCCTGAAAAAGTAGAGAACCAGGTATCTAGGGAAGCTAGTACTTATAACCCAGCCCTCCAGTCTATCCTGTAGATAAGTTGTGGTACCTAAGTGCTGTTATAGGGGAAGGATGGTGTGTGTGTGTGTGTGTGTGTGTGTGTGTGTGTGTGTGTGTGTGTTGCTGGGGTGACAGTGAGGGAATAAAGAACAACATGGTTGAGAATTGACCATGTTCAGGGAACTGGGAGGGAGGGTCCAATCCAGCAGAGGGGATGACTTCTGGTCTGACTTCCTGGACCCTGGTAGGAGGGAAAGGTTGTAGAGATATAAAAGAACAGCACTAATTCCTGAGTCAGCTCCCCACAACTCGTGGCACACCAATCCCTGATACTTTCCACCTCACAAATCTCTGAGCACAGGACGGTCTCTAGCATCAGGGTGGGCAGGGGGATTGAAAAGCATATGACCCCTGGAGCAACATTGCTAAGAGATGGAGGTGAAGAGAGGCATAAGCCCTCTTAGCAGTCATGGCTCCTAAGGAGAGGCCAAGGTGGGCAGTGTGCATAGCCCCTGGAAAGCTGGGTCTTGAAGAGGAAGGCGGCTCTTGTCTGCCAAGATGCCCGGTCTGGAAGGAGAAATGGAGACAGAGGCTCACTGTGCCACCTTGGTCCTGCAGCAGCCCAGGGCTGCACATGGAAAAATGTGCTGTTGGCAGTGGGCCGCTCCATCCGTCTTCCCTCCTGGCCAGAGCCAGGGCCCAGCCAGCATGCCCAGTCAGTGGGCAGTTGGGTTGGCTTCTCAGAAACACTGTGGGCTCTTTGTCTGAGGCCCAAGGCCACTTGAGGATGAGCCAGGTGCCTCTCCTCTGCAGCCCAGAGGTTAATGGAATGAAGAGGACCTAAGGGAATCACTTTCAGGAAACAGAGAAATCTGGGACCTGGGAGGAATGGTGGCAGAAGGTGACTAGATTGAGGGTCACAGTCAGGGTCTTTCCCATCAGTTTGTTGGATTTGATGCTGACTTTTAGATTCCTCTCTTTCTCCTGTCCACAGTTGCCAGTCCTGGGAGGCCCAAGAGCAATGTGAGGGACCTATGTGACCCTTCCGGGACCAAGAAATTTTCTAAGGTTCCTCTGTCCAAGGGTGACACTCACATCTCTGGAAGGTTCCCACTGCTCACAAGGGCTATCTGGTGCCTTGGCTATAGGTATTTAGAGCAGGGTGCCCAGGCCTGATATGTATGCCTGCCCCTGGTCCCTCACCTTCCATACCTTCAGCTTCCCTCCCAGCATGCACCACATTTCTCTCCAAGCCTGCCCTGTTCTCATCTCACTAGTGTACAGGCTCAGGCAACAGGCTACTTGGCACGGTGGGGGGCCTAGTAGGAGGCTGGGAATCCAGATGTCATGACAGTTCGCTTAGGATGGGAGATGGTGATGCCAGAATCCCATTCCAAAGCCACGTTCTCTCGGGTACACTCAACTGTCTCCAATGCCTCCGCCATTTTTCAGTTTTCCTCGTTCATTTCTCTACGCCCCACGTGGCTCTAGCATAACGTCCATGGTGGAGCATGAGGGGGGGCTCACACTTTACCAGATGGCACAGAAGACAGCCAGGGAGACAGAGCCAGACCCCACACACCAGAAGACAAGTGCCATACCTGGTGCCGGTGTCCCCAGTCTGGAGGGGACTGTGGCTGTTACATGAAGACCCCGTGCCAGCCAGGCTGCGTGTGTAGCCACAAACTGCCCAGTGGAGAGTTTTCCCACCCAGCAGTCTGGTCCAGACACTGGAGCTTTGGAGAGTGGCCCAAGCCTTGCAGTGACTCCAGAGGGGCCACACCCCTCCCCCAAGACTGGAAACCAGAAACACCCAGGCTGCCCAAGAGACCCAAAGATCTTCCAGAAGTAGTTCAGACCTTCCCCCTTTGAGGTCTCAAGCTGCTTCTGGAGGTTTCCCAGAGACATGGAAGGAACCAGAGGGTTTTTTCCTTGGACTCTTGGAAAATATTATATTCCCGAGGAGTCCAGACTGAACATGAATTTGGGCCTGAAGAGGATTCCCCCACCTCCACCCCCACAGGGATGATTGCTGTGGCCTCTCCAGCTCCCCCAACAGAACCTGAGGGTTGCTAGAGGCTCCTAAGGATCTGCTCCTCGAAAAAAATGCAGTGCCCCGCCACCCCCCTACCTCCGTTCAAGTTCCTTCTAATCCTGAAGGTTCCGCCATGTGGCCACAGTCCGGCTGGACCACGTGTGCCGAGTCGGCACTGGGAGGAGGCATGCAGGAAGTGAGAACAGGGTTCCCAGTGACATCTGCGTAGCTCCCCACCCTCTGCCCCGATCTGTCCCCCACCTCCCTACTGTCCCACTCAAGCCTGCTCACTGTGTTCTCTCTCCCCTCTTGCAGAGACACAAAATGCAGTGGGCCCCCCTCCTGCTGCTGGCAGGGCTCTGCTCCCTCTCCCGGGCCCAGTATGACGAAGATCCCCACTGGTGGTTCCACTACCTCCGCAGCCAGCAGTCCACCTACTACGATCCCTATGACCCGTACCCTTACGAGCCCTATGAGCCCTACCCCTATGGGGTGGAGGAAGGCCCAGCCTATGCCTATGGCTCTCCACCCCCTCCAGAGCCCCGCGACTGCCCCCAGGAGTGCGACTGCCCCCCCAACTTCCCCACAGCCATGTACTGTGACAACCGCAACCTCAAGTACCTGCCGTTCGTCCCGTCCCGCATGAAGTACGTCTACTTCCAGAACAACCAGATCTCGTCCATCCAGGAAGGTGTCTTCGACAACGCCACTGGGCTGCTCTGGGTTGCTCTCCATGGCAACCAGATCACCAGCGATAAGGTGGGCAGGAAGGTCTTCTCCAAGCTGCGGCACCTGGAGAGGCTGTACCTGGACCACAACAACCTGACGCGGATGCCCGGCCCACTGCCACGATCCCTGAGGGAGCTCCATCTCGACCACAACCAGATCTCGAGGGTCCCCAACAACGCTCTGGAGGGGCTGGAGAACCTCACGGCCTTGTACCTCCAGCACAACGAGATCCAGGAGGTGGGCAGTGCGATGAGGGGCCTCCGGTCACTGATCCTGTTGGACCTGAGCTACAACCACCTGCGGAAGGTGCCTGACGGGCTGCCCTCGGCCCTCGAGCAGCTCTACCTGGAGCACAACAACGTCTACTCCGTCCCCGACAGCTATTTCCGGGGGTCACCCAAGCTGCTCTATGTGCGGCTGTCCCACAACAGCCTCACCAACAATGGCCTGGCCTCTAACACCTTCAACTCCAGCAGCCTCCTCGAGCTTGACCTCTCCTACAACCAGCTGCAGAAGATCCCCCCGGTCAACACCAACCTGGAGAATCTCTACCTCCAAGGCAATAGGATCAATGGTGAGATGCCGACAAAGGGGAGCGGGAGAGGCTGTCTGTTCCTTTGGAAAACCCCTGTTCCGAGGGCTGGTAGCTACACAAAAGACATAGAAGTAGGGGAAAGAGAGGTCACGAATGAGGCAGCCTGTGACCCTGTACAAGGGGTACAAAATGGCCCTAGACCACACAGCAGTGCTGGAAAATTCCTTGGGGGAGTGGGTTGGCTTGGAAGAAGACTGCCCAGTAGAGGTAAGCTTGGATCTAAGTCTTGAGAGATAGGTTGAGTGTGGGCTGGAAGAACGGGACAACGGCATCCTGGGAAGTGAAGTGCCGCAAAGGGACTGGCCGTTTATCAGGTCGCCTGCAGGGGACAGCCAGGAAATCTGTGCGACGGAGAGGAAGGGCTTGCGTGTTGCGGAGCAGTGAGGGATGAGCTTGCAGAGGTCCGGATGCGAGCAGTTCACAGGCAGGCGGGTGTAAGTGGAGTTTCTAGGGTCTATCTTGGCAGGAAGTGGGGCTCTTAAGACTCCGTGGAGTTTGCACTGATTTCCTGACCCCAAAGACGATGAACTCTCTGTTTCTACATGCTCCACTCCCGCCTCTATAGCCGCTCTTGTGTTTGGCTGTTTATTTATTTTTTAAACGTAACAGCTGTTGGACAAGAGTGTGCAGCCTCTCAGAGCTGAATGCGTTACTTGTTGTGGTCTCCTCCCTGGAGTACAAGGAGCCCCCGGAGGTAGGGCAGAGGTCCCCCGGGGTAATAGGAGCCTTGTCACCACAAGGTGGTGGGGAAGGACGCAGCCTCTTGTGCTCCAAGCACTTCCCGGCAGATGCCGCAAGTAACCTAAAACTCTTGTGCTCCAAGCACTTCCCGGCAGATGCCGCAAGTAACCTAAAAGGCTGCCTCTGTGTCTCTTAGAACTAACATCTTCATTTCGGACAGAATTACTCGTTGCTTTTCAGCTCCTTCTCGGGATCTTGTGTTCGGAATGTGCTTACGTTACCCCCGGGCCTCTGATGTTTTAATCCCAGCTGGAAGGTACTGAGCCAGCATTTAACCTCCCTTCCTCAGTCACCAAAGTCCTCCTGTCTCAGGGAAAGGACTCATTAATGACGCTGGCGAAGGGCTTTAAAGTGGAGCCTGCTGTGAGCCCATGGCACTATCGAGGCCCTGATGAGGACCGAGCCTTCATCTTCTCCCTCCCGTCCTTCCTCTCCCTGTGTTCAGGGAACAGATCAGTCATTTGGCAGGATGTTAATGCGCTGCACAGCCCTCCGAGTGAGAGAGGCACCGGGCCCCCCAGAGGTCGACAGTGGGGTGGGCAAGGTCAGAAGGTGTCTGGTTTGAAGTGCAAGACACCATCATGGGCTCCCAAACTGTTTTATATGTAAAGTCTCTCTTTTGGGGGACGTCTTCTTATTCCCAAGTGGGACAGCCCTCGGAGAAGTCTCTGAGATGTTGCATGTTGCCTAGGGGTTGCCATTTACCCACAGCCGTCCGTCATCCCACCCAGAAGTCACCTGCCACCCTACTCCAAATCCAGGAGGATCGTCACATCAGTAATGTCATATTATGTGCTGTGTTTGACCTTGAATCTGTGACAGCAAAGAGCAGCTGTCACAGGAGGGAACCCATTAGCTATTGCCTGACTATATACAGTCAGAGAAAGTTGGGGAGGGAAGGGCTCCATCACAACATCTTGTCACCCTCTGCCCTTGGGCGGAGCACATCTGTCACTCAAATACAGGGTGGCCCGCCCCTTCCAGAAGCTCTCTGGAAGATAACACCATTTCAGTTAAGTATCCCCAGGCTTTGCAGGAAAGTTCTCCGTTAAGCCAAACAATGGCTAAAAATGTCAGCGTCTCCCCCAAATCCCTTCTTATGTAATTTTTAATGTTTATTTATTTTTGAGAGAGACAGAGACAGAGGGAAAGCTGGGGAGGGGCAGAGAGAGACAGAGACACAGAATTCAAAGTAGGCTCCAAGCTCTAAGGTGCCGGCACGGATCCTGATGTGGGGTTTGACCTCATGAACCATGAGATCATGACCTGACCCAATGTCGGATGCTTAACCAACGGAGCCACCCAGGGGCCCCCCTTCTCATGTAATTTAAGCCAAAGCCCATTATCTACTTCTCACTTGGTCTCTCTTCCAGTCTCCTTTTAAGGCAAAATAACACCAATTCCTATATTTAATTTTTCTTAAATTAGCAAATTAATACATCAGAGGTGATTGGTCCAGGGGCAGGCACATAACTGAGAAGCATTACACCATAACTATTCCTACCTTTTCCTCTCGGTGCCACTTTGAAGTTGACAGGCATATATTTTGTTTTGTTTTACTTTTTTTTTTTTGAAGTTTATTTATTTATGTTGAGAGAGAGAGAGATCTCACAGAAGCCACATACCGACAGAGACACAGGGAGAGAGCTGAGAATCCCAAGCAGGCTCTGCGCTGTCAGCATGGAGAGGCTGAGGTGGGGTTCAAACCCACAAACTGTGAGATGATGACCTGAGCCAAAATCAAGAGTCAGATGCTTACCCAACTGAGGCCCCCAGGCGACTCTGTTTGCTTTACTTTTTGCATCGCAAAGATGGGGACACTGAAGTCTTTTCAGAGAAGGAGCAGCCATCTCTCGGGGTCACCCAGATGACGCAGTGGTCACCCTGAGCATCGACCTTCAGCATCCAAGGATCTAGAGTCAGGTATCTCTGGCTGAGAATGTAAGGAGTACCTCTGATTCAGACCACCAGCGGGAAGGCCCTGTCCCCAAGCTTGGGCCCCCTCTCCCAGGGCCAATGCGCCACCTGGTGGGGAGTGTTGATGGTAGGGTGGAAGCCACCCTCTGGGGGAGGAGCTCAAAGAAGGGCAGGAACTAAGGGGTGTGCAGGGGAATCAGGCCAGTCCGGTCCCTCCCCCTTCCCTCTTCCATTAGCATCTCCCTCAGTTTTTCCAGCCTGGCAACAGCAAGGGAACACAGCTCAGAATGTTTTTCGGTAGCTGTGGGATCTGTGGAGCAGGGCGGGTACCCCAGGAGGAATTTGGAAAGACTTATGTCAGTATTTAATCTGGCCTGGAAAATGTCCTCCAGAGTCTCCAAGCAGAAGCCCTGTCCTATTCATGAGCTTGGGGAGACAAATGGACAGTGAACCTGCTGCATGGACAGAATTGATGTTCGTGGTGTCCAGCAGCCCCTAAGTATCCCCCCTATTTATATACATACTTAGGGAGCCAGGGTTTTAGCAGATGGTCGGAGGGCCCGAGGCTGGGGTAGAGAACCCATCCATCTAGTGCAGGGGAGTTGGAAGTGATCTATAAGCCGACCCACCTGACCTCTCCACAGCCCATCCCACTCTACCCTTCTCTGTGGCCACCACACATGCAGCCCCTGCCAGAGGCTCTGCCCCCAACCTGCCCCCTCCTAGGCCATGTAATCTACTTCCTGGGACCAGAAAGGAGACATCCAAAAGTATCCAAAAGATCTCCACCATCCCCACGCCCCTCCTACCCCACCACGGAATGCTGTCCACAGAAGGGCACTTCCTATCCTATCCCCTTCTTCTAGTCCAGGGTGTCATTATTCTTTGGGGCTGGATCTCCCGTCTTACATTTGCCGAACAAATCAACGGGCTGCAGCCTCTCCCCATCTCCTCTTGGTCAGGTCTTAAGAGAGGCTGAAAACAACTGTTCGTGTTCACTGAAAATCACTTTGCTCACCAGCCTATTTAAGCTCCCTACGCTGTCTTCCCTGCAACCTTCCCTTTCATACCCGTAGCTGCACCCTCCAGGAAGCCCTCCGTGGTTGCCCCCAGGAATAGAGTCAGAAAAGCCTCCTCCCCGCTCCTCCAGCCACCCTGGTGAGCTGAGGAATGCCGCTGGGGAGAAGCAAAAGCAAGCCCTGGGTCTGCCCGATGCCACCACCCTCGCCCTCAAGATAGATCCTACCGAGATCTGACCCGTGACTTCACCAAGACCCCTGGGACAGGAACCGCCTTCAGAGGCCCTTAGGCAGCCCCTCATGGTGACTCTGCCACCCCTGTGGGAGAGTCAGTCAAGTGCTTGGCTTTTTCCCTTCAAGATCCTAACTCAGCAGACTTGAGAGAGGTGGTTGATTGTCCAAAAGAACAACCAGAGGTAAAACAGAAGGGTTTAGGTTAAAACCAAACAGAACTACTGTATGTGTTAAGATTATGAGGGGGAAATCTTCAAAACAGGGGGACTTCTTTTGAGATTAAAAAAAGGGGGAGTGAGCCATATATTAAATGCAGGAGGCAAGGGAATTATTTATTTGACTTCTGAGGTCCATGGCAGTCCTATTCGTCTATGGATTTCCGTCTTCCTGAACCGCAGGGCCTTGCTCATTCCTTTAGCAGTATCAGGAAGGGAGACGTGCACCCCCTCTTCGCTCCGGCACGCAAAGACACTTGTCTCCCTGCCCAGGCTTTCCCTCTTTAATTTCCTGCCGCTCTCTTCTACCTGCAAAGTGTCAGGAGATGTTCCAGATTTAGGTCCCTCCGTTTCCCCGTTGTTCCTTCTCATAGCAATTCAGAAAGGCCCTCCCTCTCCAAAGGCAATCAAGTCCTTCAAAACTGCTAAGGCTGATCTCTGACTACCGTCTAGTTCCCCCTGCCGCTTACGGACGGGAAAAGATCGCATCCTGGCTGGAAGGACACTCAAGGACATTCAGGGTCTGCAAAGTGATGTGAGGATTAGGGGTGGTTGGGAAGCGGAGCGACGCAGGCAGAGACTCCACTCTGGCCCTCGTGCTGCCCCCTAGCGGTGCCAGTCGGTATGACTTCGCTCCCGGAAGACGCTGCCCCACCCAGCCAAGTCCCGCTCCTCCCCTCAGAAGTGTTAAAGCCGCTCATTTGGAGAGCTGACCGGCGTCCCTGGGGATCCGGGTCCCTGATCCCGGCTTCTCCCGCCCACCCCACTCCTCTTGTCCCCACAGAGTTCTCCATCAGCAGCTTCTGCACCGTGGTGGACGTCATGAACTTCTCCAAGCTGCAGGTGCTTCGCCTGGACGGGAACGAGATCAAGCGCAGCGCAATGCCCGTGGACGCGCCCCTCTGCCTGCGCCTTGCCAGCCTCATCGAGATCTGAGTGGCCCCTTGCACAGGGCACGGGGCGAGGGTCCCCGCGCCCCACTGCATTTGGCTTGATGGTTTGGTTTGGCTTTTGCTGGAAGGTCTGGGACAGACCATGTGACAGAACTCCATGGGCTCCCTCTGTAGTCTTCTTCCCTGTAGGCAGGGTCAGGTGGGATCAGGGGACAGGCAGCCTTTTACTGAGGGACACGGCCGCAGCTCTCTTTCCAGGACAGATGTGGTGGCAGAGGAACTAATCCGTGGAAGTCCCAACCCCAGAAACCTCACTATTCTAAGTTCTTCCCAATGATCTGGTGTCATGAACTCTAAAAGTCCCTCGGGCAACAGCACATCGCGTGCTTTCCCCACAATCCCTGGCTCTCTCCGTGAGCAGCGCTTGACCGCTCTCCTGCATGCCAGGCCGGTGATGCGGTTACTCTGGGCTCCCACTCAGTGCTCCTCGGAATATACCTCTTTGCCCAACTGCCTCCTCCTTTGTCTTCTTCATCCACTCAGCCTTGCTCCACAGACACCTGTTCTGGGCCTCAGGCGGAGGCATGAAAGCCCAAGGCGTTCGGGCATCTGCCCTGTGGCCTGTGAAGAGAACTCACACTAGTGTCTGGGGGGGGGGGGGAGGAAACCAAGAGTCACCTCTACACCCTCCCTAACTTGACTCCTTGAAAGCCACCAGATTGGAGGTCACCAGCATGATGGCAATATTCAGGGACTGGTGTGGGAGGAGACAACCAACTTAGGCTTTGATAAATGGAGGGGGCTATACTTTAGCAGCTGGGCAGTTCTTTGAAGGTGGATCAGACTTCAGAACAGGAAAGGCCAGCCTTTGCTCACATCAGCATCCATAATGCAGGCAAACGTCCCGAATCGGCTGAACTGAGGAAGCAGCCCCCAGGGTCTCACCATTGCCCAGCACCCTCTGCATTCCCAGCAGCTCCTTCTAGAAGAGTCTACATCCTGATGGGAGAAACAGAGTCCAAGCAGCCCTGGACTTGCCTGACTTGCCCAAAGGAGGGGGCGGTGGGTCAGTTGTATGCATTGATTTGTCCTGAGACCCCAGTTCGTAGTGAAAGCTCTGGCTGGAGACGCTCCTTGGGTCTGTGAAGCCCGGGCCAGGCAGCCAAATCTGGCTCGTGCTGAGGATGAAACCCTCTGCTCTCACATCTCTGAGCTACACCCTCACTCCTGAGGATGCCTTTTGCTTTATAGCTTGGCTGGAGAGCAATGAATTCTTCCCATGTCTGAACAGTGATGTTGCCTGGGGCCCGACCGTCCAATTCCTTTGGGCGCCATTGCGATGGGGCCGTCTGGGCAGCCAGGGGCAAGGACTGGCCTGAGAAGAGCTAGTCCCAGCCTGACCCCCACCCAAATGCTGTTACATCCCTGACACTGTGTATGCTTTGAAGCAGCTTCCCTGAGAAGTGAAGGGGAGGGTCCCTGGACTGTGTTCTTGGCTCCAGACTCAAAAATCCACAAAAGCCAAACCAGCTCATTTCAACAAAGGAGCTCTGATGTGACAGGGCAAGGCTGCCCCTGCCCCAGGCTCTTCAGAAAGCGTCTGCATGTGAACACCATCATGCCTCTATAAAGGATCCTTATTACAGGAAACGCATGAGTGGTGGCTAACCTGACCAATAAAGTTATTTTATGATTGCATCTGCCAGAATGGAGTCATTTAAAGCACACACAGAAAGGTCACTTTAAGGGAACCTGTGGGTCTCATTGCCTTGGACTGGAAGAGCCCACTTTCTCCTCTCTTCTGCTTGGGCAGATGTAGCTAAGGGGTTAAAAAGAAAAGTCCCCTGTATAAAATTTCTAGTTAGCAAACTTGGTGTTCTGGAAGTTCTTTGAGTCTAACTTCAAGCCCACTAGCTACACATGTCCTTTCATTTGGTCCCCAAGAGAGAAAGAACACTTGGGTTTTTTTTTTCCTGTCGTCCTTGTTAACATTTTTTTTCTCCATTTCACCGTCTTCCCTCCCTCCCCCCCCCCCCCCCCCCCCCCCACGCGGAATTCTGGGTCTGGCCGATCCTGAGTGTAGTTGTCTTAGCTGCTGTCGCCCTCTAGTGACAGCTGCGCAGAACTGAGGGTAGTCAAACCCGCACAGCCCGGTAGGTGCTAGAAGAAGAAAATAAACCTTCAGCCACCAGATGCTTAGCAGATGTTATACAAGTCAGGAGGGCCAACTAGCCTGGAGCTTTGGGGACAATCTACTGTTTTCTAATAGGGAAATAACCACAACTGATATTTGTTGAGCTGAATATATTACTCACTGAATATACTCATTAATGTATTCTGGGAAATTCTGTGCCAAGACTGTTTTAAATGTCACAACTCCATCTTAAGCCAGAGTAAATGAACTTGATTATTCTTCCCTGAAGCAAGAGCTAGGCAGGAATGGGAGGGTGGGAAAGATCGGAAGGAAATCCTAACTTTAACTACAGGCTTCTCTCCAGGGACAGCGAGTTTGGCAACCCTCCCTTAGCGCGGGACTGAAATGCCACGTGCAGCAGACACATGGCCAGGGATCCAGCCAAGCTGCAAGGAAGAAACTTCTGCCTCTCTGTTTTGCTTCCTAGGGAGGCCCCATGAACATCCCAACCAAGACAGAGCAGGGGGAAGAATCAGGAGCCAGCCCCCACCCTGCTGCAAGTCTCCCCTGGTTTCTAAATCCAGTGCTTCTCAAGAGGGTAGCAAGCATGGGCTATCCATCAGGCTCAGCTGGCTTTCCTCTGAGTTACTACCATTTGGGGGGTACTTATTATGTGCTCAGTTCTTTACTTACGTTACCTCATTAGCATTCCTAACCATTCTATGCCATAGGTGCTATGATTTTTGCTATTTTATGGTTGGGGAAACTGAGGCACAGAGAAGCTGAGCTCACCCCCAGAAGGAAGGATGGAGGCCATGCTGAGCTTTATCCTGTTGCTTTTGCTATACTGTTTTTATAGCAGCACAGTTTTTATACTGTGCTGGGCCTGACGTCTCTGTGTCACTGGTGTAAGCAGGTCTGCTAGGAATGGAGAGGGCCCTTGGTGGTCGACAAAGTGCCTTAGATGGAGGAAGGTCATTTGACTTGTTTTTATTTACCTCAATCCATTCTGCTAGCGTTCATGGTCCCTTTATGAATTTTCCAATTAAAATGCACTATCCTCAATAAATGAGTATCCTTGGGCAGGCATCGAGGGTACAAAACAGGCAACCCCTGCCTCGGGGTCTTTCTTTGCTCTCTAGTTCAATGACAAATATGGCACAAAAAAATTGCAGGGGGACCATGTAGTTACAAATTGAGAAAGCGCTTTGAAGGACATGAGCACAGGTCTGCATGGCGATTATCAAGGAGGCTGACCTAGACTGGCAGTTCAGGGCCAGATCGTAGATATGGAGGGAGAGTATGGTTATCGAGATGACGAGGGGGGGCAGGGGGGTGGTGTACAGCAGAGGTAACGGCCAGTCCAAACTTCCTAAGTGGGAGGAAGCTTCTGAGTCACTGAAAGACCGCGTAGGTGGCTGGAGCAGAGAACGTGGGTAGGAAGTGATAGGGCTATAAGAGCAAGAGTAAAATCGCCCGCGGCCTCTATTCTCTTATTTCACACCCGGGTACTGTACCAGGAAACTTACCAACGCCCCCAAACCCATAAGGTCCTACCTTGTATTCAGTCTTGCAGTTCCAACTTCCAGCCACTAGTGGGCAGCATCTCACTTTGCACCGACGAAGCCTTTCTAAAACCTTTAAAGGTTTAGTTCACTCCACTTTCTCCCAACCTGTTCTGATCCGCCAGCTCTCAGCCCCACTGGACACTGACGAAAAAGCAAGGCACTGGGTAACAAAGGAGTCTCGACCTTTGTGTGCTGTGGACCCCTTTGGCAGGCTGGTGAAACTATGGACCTCTTCTCAAAATGTTCTTAAAGACATAAAATACATAGGATTCCAAAGGAAACCGATTGCATTAAATAGTTATTGAAGTATAAAATATGTAAATTTTTACATAGTATATATGTTTTGTTTTTTAATGTGATAAATAGCAAGATCTAGCAACAAGTCTAATTACAGTCATGTGGAAGTACTGATGAGCCTAAAAGGCATTTCAAAGCATTTTCAATAATTAGAATATGATATAAAAATTTCTGTGATTTCAGTTGGCGACGAAACCTCAGGTACCATAAACATTGCAGTGGTTCTTTGCCTTTGTAATTGGAGAGAATGCTAAATTTCAGATAGCTGTGTGAAAAATCAAGATATAGTATTTTCTCATCAAGTTCCTAGACTCGCTCTAAGTTAAGCCATGGAAAGAGGCAAAAAGATGGATGATAGAAGACAAGCAAGAAAAGAAGGCAAATCATTTTCTCTCCAGGAGCATAGTTCTATCACTAAACAAATGTTTATTGTATGCAAAACACTGAGCCAGCAAAAGTGAATAGTGTATTTCGTATACAAAACAATAAGTATAAATAAGTATAAAGCTCTCCTGATACTTACTGTGGAGTTTGGTGAAGACAGTAATTACTAACATGTATTGTGCTTTAGCCATTTTTTAAAATTTTGCTTAATATTTTTATTTATTTTTGAGAGAGGGAGAGAGAACACAAGCTGGGGAGGTGCAGAGAGAGAGGGAGACACAGAATCCAAAGCAGGTTCCAGGCTCTGAGCTGTCAGCACAGAGCCTGATGCAGGGCTCGAAGACGTGGGGCTTGAACTCATGCACTGCGAGATTACGACCTGAGCCAAAGTTGGACATTTAACCAACTGAGCCACCCAGTGCCCCTGCCTTTGCCCTTGAAAAGACAGGTAATTCGAGAATGCCTGAAGTAGTTTGACGTAAGTGCCAAATGAGGTATAAGGACAAAATGTCTCTTCATTTGTTTTTTAAAGAGGAGGAAATGATGAGGGCTGAGTGGCCAGGAAAGCTGGGGGAACAGCCCCAAGCACCCGCCCCCGCCCCGGGGGGGGGGAGGGGTCTGGAAACTCTCTTTTCTTCACCAGCTCCGCCATCCGTCCCCCAAGCAGTCCGCAGGAGGGTCCACAGCTAAAAATGTGTCACCAGGAGATTCAGCATCTTGGATAGATCTCAGACTTTCCCAGAAAGTCCTCTGCCTCAAACAGACAAATGGAAGCTGGCGGACACGACTCCCACCACTAGCTGAGTCTCAAGGTGCCCCAGGCCCCCATGCTGTGCCCAAAGAATGCAAACACATTGATCAGTCCTGTGGTGGCCTCAGTTTCCAGGGAAGCAATCCTTCCTGGAGACCAGACACCCCTGGGAGGCAGCCCACCGGTGGTTTGAGAAGGACTGACACAGGAGACTGAAGCCGGTCCTTCCTTGGTTGCTTGGGGCCCCACGTGGCCCAGAAAGGCCGAAATGGACAAAGGGACCAAGTCGACTCTGCCCAGTCATGCTGGGGCCCGGCAGGAGCTGCAAACGCTGAAGTTAAATGAGTGGTTCCTCCTGTGTGTTCAGTAGTTGGCTACACTCACAGGAGAAAGAACAGAATTACACTTGACCCAGTTCTGGAAATAATAACAGGAAACTGGTTGGGCTCCCAGGCGGAGGTAAGAGGACCTACCTACACAAGCAGAAGCATCCGAAAGCAGATGGGGTTAGTGTTGGTCCCTCGTATAAAGCCTACTAGCAGGAAACATTCCACTCCAATAGTTCCCATGCCTCCACTCGCGTCCTACAGAGCCATCGGGCGGGACAGTAACAGCTGCGCGCCAGGCTTTGTCAGGCAGATCTGGAGCAGATCCGAGTCAGATACGAGGGCCGACAACTGGCACTTTGTAGAGGCAGGTGTGGGGAAAGCTATCCCAAGGAAGGAGCCACAAAACCCGAGTCCCCAAATAGAAGGAGATTTATGTGGTCAGGGTGGCAAGGACACACGTAGCGCCAAGTCCAGGGGTAAAGGTAACTCAGGAAGACAGGGAGGTGACATGATGGCGAATGGGAGAGGGCTCAGCACAGCCCTGGTGGCTTTAGCCGGTGCAGGTGTTGTGTGTTTCCTGGCCCAGCCTCACATGCGGAGGCTCTCAGCCCACAGGCACCTGGGGCTTAGGGAAAGCAATCCTCATTGGCTTCGAGGATCACATTTTCTGAACCAAAAATAAACACATTTCGCTAAATAGGTATGTCTTTGTGGGACCATAAAGCAGAATGTTTAAAAATATTTGGGTCCTAGGAAGTTTAAGACCTGCAGTCAAGAACCACATAAGGGTCAGATCATAAGATAGACGGAGGGGGTGTGTCAGTCCCAATTCTTAGCTTGCACCCAACAGGAATTGAATTTAGCTGATTTAAGCAGAAAAGGAATTCATCTATTCATGTGTTCATTTGCTTGCTTATCTGTTTAAAGGGGTGGCATATCAGATAGCTGACAGACTCTCTGAGAGGGTTCTAGAACCAGGCTTGAAGGGCATGCAGCCAGAAACAAGGTCCAAGGTCATGCCCATGAAGGCACCACAGCCACCCCCCCGAGGGTACAGACACTGGAGCTCACTCTGGCAGTGCCATCCATAGTGGGCAACGGATGCTCGCGGGGACCCGCTGTCGCTCCTGCCTGTGGAAAATGGGTGGACCTGCCACCATGTCCCACTCTCCACGAGGCCCCTGCCTTTGCATGCCACTAACTCTCAACTCAAGGCCACACTGGCAGAACCAAGT